GTCCTTAAACTGCAGTTGGAGTGCACCTGGGGTGGTGGTAAGGGAAAATGTCTCTCCAGTTTTGTGTTGTTCCTTTCTTCAACTCTTCTGCAGGAATCTGCTGGTTACAGTCTTCTCTGCTCTGATGGATAAAATGTTTTCATATTTTGAAGTTACTTTGCCTGGGCTTTCTAAGTGTTTGGTATACAATGTTTAAGATTGTAAAAGGTCACTTAAATTTGTCTTCAACATTCAGTGGTGGTAGGGGTAATGAGTATGGTACTTCTGTGGATGCCGTAGGAAATCGGTTCCAGAAATCAAGGTTGCAACTCCCAGAAGATGGAGGGGGGGAAAGGAAAAACTCCTCTGAATTCCGTATGCTGGATGCCGCTCAGATGTGGAGTTTGGATAATTCAGCTTACCATTCCAGTATCATTACTGCCTGGTCTTACCCATAGGCTTATAAGGAACGCCAGGTTTTCTCCTCTGCAGTTTTTCTTCTCTTTAAAATTTGCTGGCATCCAGAATACCTAAATTTATGGTAGTGATTCAATATTAGTGCTTCTTTACATCTTCGGAGTTATAGTTGTTACCTGTGTGTACTGTCAGCACTTCAAGAAAAGCAAATCCAGCAAACAGCCCACCTCCTGCGTTTGGTCCGTGGTGACGAAGGAAGGAGAAACTGTTTTCTGTGGTGCACGCACCGTCACGGCTGCTCGAAATGAGACAGCACAAATCTTTCCCACGTGTGCGACACCTGCCTCTGTTAATACCGCGTGGCACGTGAAGTCGCTTGAGAACTTCTGCTCCTCACTGTATCCGAAATTAAGTCCCAGTAGAGCCTCTGTACCGTATTAGTAAAAAAGCCAGATATCTTTGAAATACTGTCTGAATCAGTGAAAAGACCTATTTGAAACACCGCTGTATTATGAATGGCAAAATTGCGGAGATGAAAAACAACACGAAGGAATATTTTTCCTAGAACAAGTATTTCACGAAGCAAACGCGAGTGGCCGTTTGAAATGTATAATTTGATCAAGGAAAACAAGAATTCTTAAATGTTTTGGACAAATCAGTAGCTTTCGTCTGAGATTTTTGAGTGTTTAATTAGATTATTTACTCTGTTTACTGCCTCTTTTTCTATCCTCTAGGTAGAAAAGACACAAATATTAGTTCTTAAATGGTTATGTTGTTCCTGTTCATCTGCTGTGCAGCTGAGGCTGTAAGTTATGAATTTAAAAATGCTGCTGTAATTAATACCTGATTGAAAGGCTTTCTCCAAACAGCAGCTCAGAGCAGCGAGATAAGAACAGATCATGGAGACAAGGAGTTCAAGCCTCTGTTGGCCACGCATGTCTTTAGAAAGCCGTAGCCATCGGAGCCTGTGCAGCATCCCTGCCTTCGCTCCTCCCCGTTAAATGCTGTGGTTGTCACTCGGCAGAATTCCTCTGGAAAATTTGAGGCTTCATCCTGTACTCTGTTCAAATGGCTCTTTGCATGTTTGGACCATCCGTGGTCTGATATTCAGCGTTACGAGCTTTGGGGATGAACATGATGTGATTTAGGTAGATTTTTGCCTTGCATGCTGCTTGTGTCCAATAGCTTCCCAAAGAACAAGCTCAGAAGTGCTCTGCAACATTTATTATGATCAAACATTTGGTAATTAACTTTTCTTGCTTAATACTCTCACTTTTTATTGACGTTTTAGAAATGGATCCTGCGTTGAGGGCCTGCCTCAATCCCAACCTAGAATATAAGCTGCACTTCATTATAAAGTGCAGTCTTGGCTTCGGGAGGACTATTTTCTTCATAAAAATTGTTTGCAGAATGGAGTTTAATGTTACGTTCTTGTACCTTACAAAGTCCAGGAAAAAGCAAAAGCTTATGATAAATGCTGTGTAAGAGCATTTCTATTTTAAGCATTCAAATTTGATTATTTGCTGTCATATTTTTAAGTAGAGGCTGGAAACAAAATGCAAATTATTAGAGGGGTTTCTGTGTCCCTAGCTGTAGGGAACAGGACATGCTGTATTGTGCTTCCCACTCGAATTTCAGCACGTTTCAGTGTTCAGTGTCTGAAAGGAGTTCTCCTTTGCCTGGATGGATAGTGCAACAATCTTGCTTGTGCCTATGATAAAAATTTTGAGTGCTGTTTTGAAAAAGGCCTTCATAGCTGCATAGGCATCTTCTGGGGGTTTCTAAACACATATTGCTGAAAATTTGTTGCAAACAGAGCATGACATTTTGAGAATGACCCTTTCACTGTAACGTATACCACCAATGGCTAGGGTTTTGCGTATGTTTTCTGTTCAACTGAACTATTGAGAAGCACTGATTAGGTTGGCTTCAGGTTTACAAGTGTCTTTAAAGTCATGAAACACGTCCTTGAACACATGGACGCACACAAATCTGTGCACAATTCTGACTTTATTCTGTTATCTGAGCCCTTTTTAAACGGTGAAAGTTTATAAAACCCATTTAGTTTTTGAGACTGGTACACTGTCCTCTTGGTAGCAGTTAATAACTGAACCTGAGCGTTGCTCGCTCCCTTAGGGTAGAAAAATATTTTAGCTAATATGGAAATGCGTAGTATGTGGAGAACGGAATATCACTGCTGGACCTGTTAGACACCTTGCAGGTGCTTTGAGAGGAGAAAATATCGATGCCTAGCTTATGCTGACTCTTCAAAATCAGGAGATTTTGTTTCTACTTTCAGTGAGCACTTGAAATTTCACTCAAAATGTGCACCGTGAGGCTTTCTTGTCAAAGCACACATGTACGTGCACACCTTCTGACTTCAGAGCGCGATGGTATCCCATAATTCTTCCAGGGGAGCTTTGTTCCATTTCATACAAACCTCTTCTCCCACTGAAATAATTTTCTCTGTATATTAATTTGTATTATTTGTGTTTCTGTGGCCAGTTCCCTTGATTGCACTCGATATATTTGAGTCAGATATATTTGACAGATTTGCACTGTCAGATCAGGGGGCAGGTAGGTGTATGTGGCAGTTCCCTAATAATTTGAGAGAGGAGGAAAGATGAGGAATTATATATTGATGTGTGTAATGGGACTTACTAAGAATTTCACTTATCCTCTAACTTCGGAATGAGGGGAGTGTTTTGTTGCTTCTAACGCAGAATGTAAGTAAATCATACATTAAATCATACATTAGTGATGGGTGATAGGACAAGAGGAAATGGGTATAAGCTTAGTCAGGGGAGGTTCAGGTTGGATGTTAGGAAGTATTTCTTCTCTGAAAGGGTTGTCAGCCACTGGAATAGGCTGCCCAGGGAGGTGGTTGAGTCCCCATCCCTGAATGTGTTTAAGAAAAGGGTGGATGATCTACTTAGCGATATGGTTTAATGGGGATGAGGGACGGTTGGACTGGATGATCTCTAAGGTCTTTTCCAACCTAGAAATCTATGAAATCTATGAAATAAACTGTGTAGAGCATGGATGGCTGTTAATCTGCTTGGTGCTACAACTTTCATAGCATCCTTTTCTCCCAATGTTCTCCACCTTTTTAAGTTTTCTACTTTTAAGTCGCGCTGCTGCATAGCTGTGGGAAAAAAAAAAAAACCTTAAAAATAACTTGTTCAGGCTTGTTTGCGTGTATTTGAAATGAAATCACTTGTTGACTCTGAAAAGGAAGCTCTTATCTTTGTAGCCGAAGATATTCCACTGCTTACTGGAGAGGGTGAGTTGGCCCTGGCTGAGGGAAGGCAGCACGGCTGAGGGGAGCGCCTGGCACTGGCACGGGGGGGGGGCCGGTTTTGCACAGCGTTCGTGTAAATAACCACTTTACACAACTGTTCCCAAGATGCACACGGCGTGGTTGCCTGTCGTGGTGTTACCCTGTGACGTTCACAAGCGGAGGATTGATGGTGTTGCAGTGGTGGAGATAAACATCAGAGAAAAAGGGCTGCGTGAAAGGGGCAGGGTGAAAGGGTGCCCCTGCCCTGGAAGAGTGCGGAATCTGTTGGGTATTGCCCTCCAACACAGGAAACAAATACATCTAGCTAGCAAGAGATTAGTAAAATGTTCAGTGATCAACTCGAGTGTTGCTTTAAATATTCTAAAACTTTTTTCCAACTCTTTTATTTTGTGATTTTTTTTTTTTTTATTTTGCAATTTTTTTAATTTTTATTTTGTGGTTTTTTTAATTTTTTTATGTGTGTTCGAGATCTAATTGTCAGGAGGTTGAATCATAGGGAAATGACTAGATGTCTTCTGTGCATTTCTTTTCTGCAAACTGTTGCTTCTACCTATGGGTTTTAGTCTTTAAAAATACTACACTTGCTTTCATTGAGCTGTATGTAATTTTTTTTTTACCTGGGGTCTTTTGGGGAGTTGTTTTGGTTTTTCTTGAAGTTTTTGGATCCTTTTAGACCAATAAGCAAGTTAAACAGAAGTCCTGACCTTTCTTTTCATTTCATAACACCCTCTCCAGACTTGTCCTGTAGCCAGTGCTGCAGCTCCCAGTACTGCCTCCGTGTTGTGTCTTTTGTCCTCCAGCAACGCTGTCAAACAGTAACAGAGGAAACTCAGAAACATCCCTGATTTTTTTTCTGACCCATGCAGGACTTAAAATGTTCCACACATAATCGTGTATTTGGCTAGAAAATATACCCGGGCATGAGTAGGCATTCATCGTGTCTCTTCTGTTTTAGATCAGTCCTGTTTACTTCCTCAGTCCAGAAACGTATTTTGGCAGCAAATTATTTCATGTAATTTACAAAATCTACTTTGGATATTTCTAGGAAAACTCTCAGAATAGTGTTTTAGTATGGCAAGACCTTTGACTGCGCAGAAATCCAGGTTGGTTAGGAATAGGCTAATGCTGTGTGAGTTTGACAAGGAAAATGTGTGTTGAAAGGGAAGGAAGGGGGAGTCTCAATAGGATGGAAAATTTCTGTGACATTATCTTAAGACTTAAGAAGGCCTTCTGAGGTAATAGCCTTTCATCTGAGGTCTCTGCCATATGAATTTATTTTTCTGCTCTTTGTTTTTTTTCCTAGTGTCCCAATGTAATATCAGCTTGAAGAAGCAGAGGAGTCGAAGTATCTTTAGCACCTTATTCTGCTGCTTTCGTGACTACAATGTCGAACCACCATCTACCAATAGCACCAGTGCTCTTCCTCCTTTGGTGGAGGAGAATGGAGGACTTCAGAAGGTCAGACTTTTATCTTATTTTGGTGTCGTGTGAGTCTTTTGTAACCTAGGTTTAACTCTGCACTTCTTAAACTTTGTCTTAATAGGTTTCTCTCATGAGGAACGTATTATGAATTACAGAAAAAAATTACTGTTTTGATGGTGAATTGCAAATATCTGTTCAGCTGCAATTTAAAACTAACTTGTCCATGAGCAAACAATACTTAAAACCTTGAGTAAGACACTAAAAAAATGTGGACTTCTTGTAATACTTCAGATACTGAGCTGTCTGTAGCTTTGGTTCTCATTCTCAACTACAGGAAGATTAGAATGTATCCACTGGAACATAGTGGAACTGCTTTGAATGTCAGCTGAAAGGGCTTCCAGTGACATAAAAACAGTTCAAAAAGGGGGAGAATCATAACTGTTGGGACCTTTTTTCAAACCAATTCACCTGTATTTAATGTGCACTGGGTCCAGAGGTAGCAACTTTTGTCCATTTCTCCAGGTTATTAAGTTTTGTTTACCTAATAAGTCAAACTAATTGTTACAAACTTTTAGCACTTCTAAGCATTGTATGTAAGAGCAGCATGTTGCTTTCATGGAGTTCTCGTACTTATTGCTTTGGCATATTCATAAAATCACAACCCAAATAATTTTATCTGTTCTTTTTAAATCTGGTGACAGAGAGGATTTGCATTATGTGACAGAAGAATTTCAGTTCAATATAGCAAACACAGGAATACCATCTTTTCCATGCCGTGTTGTTTTTCAGCACTCTAGAAACTCCACTAGTGCTATACTCATAATTGAAACACTATTCCCACACTATTTTTCCAGGACTTCAAAGGGTTACAAGTATAGATGTGTCCATTATGGGGAATAATAGCAGAAATTGAGACATCTCTGACTTTTCAACCTTCTACTCTTCACACTAATTTTTCATAGTTGATGGCAACTGATTTCTTACCTACCTTGTCCACTCCATTTTATTATGTTTTTAATTTTGCTTGTTATGTTTGAATTCTGAAAAGCTCAGGAGAAAGAGCAGAGGAACTGTTTGGTAGGAGGGAGGAAAGGAAAAATAAATTAAAGTGACTGAGACAAAGAACACATGGAAGGGGTAAAGGCTGAACTGCAGCAGTTCATGCTGAAACTGCTTACGCAGAGGTAAAGTGCACTGAAAATTCCTCTGCCAAGAGGAGGAGTTGTATGTGTATTTTTAGATGTTTTTTGCTAGCCAAGGAACATTTTGACTGAAATGAAGGAAATCTACCCTGGATGTGCTGAAGGGAAAGCTGAGTAGTGTGTAGCATGCATGTGCATGTTCACCTGAGAAACAAAAGGAATGAAAACCAGTAAAATTTCCCTTTCCACTATGATAGGGGATGGAAACGAGGCAGAACGGAGGCTACTAGCCAAATTATATCTGAGAGAAAATGGGAGTCCATTAGAAAGAAAAGCGTAAAGAAAAGAAGAGTTTGTTTTTTCTATAGAAATTGTGAGTTAAAATGGTCTGGAGTCAGTAGTTTTCAGATTGCATTTTGTAAAACACTTAATTACTTTCTAAATATATCTTATGCCTTGAGCGAGTGATAACGTGTGTGTTCACACAAGTTTCCATCCTCACTCTATGCTGCCTTAGTGAGCAGTTTTGAAGTTGTACACGAGCCCAAGACACAAATCACAGAATTCATAGAATTACCAGACTACAACTCCATAGAGAAAATCATTCAAGGAATACGTTAAAAAGAATTATTAAAGAATGTGGTTTTTTGTTCAAATAGAATGAAGCACACTCAGATGTGTACACATTTTGTAGAGGAAATCAAGTATAGCTCAGCTTTTGGGTAGTTCTTAAGTGAGTGCAAGTATGTCTGTGACACTTCTGTTTTAAATGCAATATTGAAGACCAGTAAACTCTGTATGTGTGTTTTATGTGCTGTTTTTGTTTTGAGTGCTAACATGGTTAGTGAAAGTGGGAAATTCTTTTAAAGAAAGAAAAGCAGCATTGAAGACTTGGATATATTTAAATATCGTTACGCTGTCAGGCTAGTGCTTGTTACCAGTAGAGCTGTGTTTTAGAGCTGTGCAGACTGGTTGGATTTGACCAAGTGCCACCAAACCTCTTGTCTAGGTTCAGAAGTGATAAGTAAGTTGGGGGAAAGTACGTGCAACAGTGTGCCTCAGTTTTTAAACTGGTGAAATTAAATGTGCACGAATGACAAAATTACCTGTTTCGAGAAGGAAAAGAAAGCCTTGACAACCTGCTGCTTAAACTCCTCTGCTGTTTAATTAAGCTCTTGTTGCATTAATCTGCCTGCCAGGTTAATAGCTTAAATTCTGCTGAACTGTTATTCAAATGGTCACTTACTTGTATCTGCCATCACTCTTGTATGTTCTATTTATTATTTATTGCATCACAGGTGACCTCTGACCATGTCCCAGCCAGTTCATGTGTTGTGACCGTTTCCTTCAGAAATGGAAAAAGGAATTGCGTAATAATGTTAAATAGTTACTATTAGAAAGCAATATAAAATGGCTTGGATGTATTTTCCTTCTGTCTTTACTGTTCAGTAGAGTTGTTACATAAAAACTGGTGAGAAAGACTTCAGAGGAAGGAAAGGGACAGGGAAAGCTTCTGCTGGTTTCACAGGAATTCAGTGTTTGTTCTATGTTGCTTCTGGCATATTCTTGAAGTTGATGTGACAAGCTAACTTCCATCTAATCGGGAGTCTGGATTCTTTCAGTGCTTACCTGTTGCAAAGAAGGGAAAGTGGGGAAGTGTGTTTTATAAAGCAATTGAAAACACAGTTCTGAAATTTTCTTCAGACTAATTACATTGTGCAATTTATTTTTTTATCGCTATTATTATTATCTTTGCTGTATTAGAAAGAATGAAATCAGTGCTTCAAGTGTCATGTCACATCTTCATAGGATTGGAAGAAGCACCAAGCTGAGCATGGTTTTGAATAAACAGAGTTTTTCAGTGCTGACTTGTATTCCATTATGAGGATAAAAAAAATGCCCAAAAACTTCTTTGAAGTATCGAGTTCACTTTTAAACTTCACTTCTACTCACAAAACAGTTGCTTGTCCAAGTGTGGCTCTAATACTGGTAATGAATGGTCCGTTCTGTCTCTGAAGTTTCAATACAACATTTTTCAATAATAACTTGTATTTACTGAAACTATTACATATTTGTTTTTCTTAAAATGGGACAGCTTTTTAGTACAGCACTAAGATGTATTCTAAGGCGTAGTATCTGTTACAGTGGGTATATCAGCCTGCCTGCAGCTTGGATGCCAAGCCAGATGTGTCATTGGGAGCACACAATGTTCAGCCTCATGAAATCCTTGCGAATTTTTTCCTGCCTCCTCAGCAGCAGGCAGATCACCAAGACCTTCCAGCCAGTTGTGGGTTTTTTTTTTTTAAGGACTAGAGTGTTGGGGAGAGGCAAGTGCTTTTTGGTTTCTTCTGAATAAATTCAAATATTAATTTCTGCTTTTTGATCAGCAACTTGACTCAATTTGCGTATTTTCTGGGCGTGCTTCTAGGTGTAGGATTTTTTCTGAGTAAGTTTGTTACCTGAGTTTTGAAGTGTTTGTGGATAGAGATTTCATCTGCAGGCTCCAAGGAGCTATCTAGATAAAGGTGAGAAGCACTAGATGCAAACTTTCTTTCTCCTTCAGTCATGGTGTGTGAGGGAGATCTGACAAGTCTATCGGCACTTTGCCATTTCACTTACAACCCACTTCCACTAGAGTCATCTCTCCTTGTGTTTCATGGTTATATCCAAGTCGGGCAGATGGCTTGTGTTCAGCAAAATGAAGCATGAATGAGGAAAGTCTTTTTTACACTTGTTGGATTAGAGGAGAAGGTCTTGGTCCACACTCAACAAGGAGGAAGACAAAATTAGAAGAAGGTTTATTCTGGGAGCAGCAGCTGCCCCCTCTGCTTTCCCTGTAGCAGGAATGAAGCCAGAAAGATTAAGTCCTTGAATTTCCACCTCACTCATCCTAACCACTACAAATGTTGGGTCTCCTTCTCGTCACTGCTTTTTGCTCCACGATGCTGTCATCTCCAAGGTGATGCTGGAAAGGCTGTTTTGGTGACATACTGTCATGTCTCCAACAGTCTTGTCTCCTTCAGGGATCTCTGTTTGTAACACAGTGCAAGGAGGAGGATCTTCTCTATCCCACATGAATATGTTTCACCAGAGTGAGAAAAACAGAGCTTCTAGGGAGCACGTTCTTGAGGTCAAAAGTAGTATCTCCTTCATTCAAGAGACCTAGAGGAGCAACATGAGCATGGACTCTTTGATGGGGAGACTCCTCCAGCGTGGAGGAAGAAAAGTGAGATTAATGTAAATAATACTCCTCTTTCTCCTACATAATCTTCCCTGATCAGAGGAAGACTATTCCTGGTTCTGTTGGTCACCATCAGCATGTGGTATGGTAGGTCTGCCTAGCAAACAAAAACTCCTCTGCATAGCTATCTGTGGTTCCTCTGTCTCTGCCTACTCATTCTGACCTTCTTTGCCTCTCCAAAAAGTGTTCTATATTAACAAAGCTCAGTAGTCCAAGTCAATGAAAGAGTCAAATAGTTACTATTTTATTGTTTTTAAAGAACTTGTCCCAGTCTAGTATAAGGGGTTGTTCTTTAAAATAAAACAACTCCTTATCTTTGAATACAGACTGTTCTCAAAAAAAAAAAGCAAAATAATGTGGTCTGTCTCTTGATGCTCATTGATCCTGTATGTGACCATGGACAGACAACATTAATGAACAGACATGGTACTGAAAATGTTGTGTCTCAAACTAAAATTACATAGCTAAGGGAAAAGGTAGGATTTATCATTTTATCTGTATATATTGTGCCATGGAAAAAAAAAAAAAGTCTTTCAACAGCTGAACAAATCGCCTCTTGGGTTATCTTAGTGATACAGGGGTGAAATTTTGGCATTCTAGGAACAGCTTTGTCCTGTTACCAGCATCAGGAGCTCGTGGAAAGACTTCAACAAATGCAGTCATCTGTCATCTATTTCAACGATAGCGTTATGACCTACTTCCCTTCCTGTTCCAAGGCATCAGGAAATGAGGCAGGACACTTTTAAAAAGTTTCCCATAGCAGGCTTGTTTTTAAAAAGCATTTGCCTGTTCATGAACACTTACACTTTACCAGCAGACTCTTGCATTTATCTTTCTGCTTGTTTTTCCAGTTGCCATCATGACCATTCTGATTTTTGCGTAGGTACTTTTAGGGTTCCTCTTTGGAAATTTACTTGTTTTCCTTGTTTTTTGATTTAAGAAACTCTACAAGAAAAACAAAGCGAACAGTGATGCAAGTCCTTTAGCAAATTGGATTCTGGATTCCTATGGAAGTCACGCTTCCATGGGGTAATACCATGGGGCGCAGCTCTTGCTTCAAGAGATTGCCAAAATGGAAAGCAAGTTACACCACACTGAGTGCGTCTTGAGGTCTGTAGGAAAACCTGATGTGATACACAGCTATGCTTGTGTCCATGAGTAAGACAATCTTGTACCATAACTGTGGATATGACTCTGCCTCTCCTACAGTGTTTTCATCTGTTGATAGAAGAGGGGCTCCAGTTGTGTTTTATTTTCTCTACCAGCGAATGCAAAAAAAGCCTTTAAAAACAAAACAAACCACGGTTTTGCAATCCGTGCTCTGCCTGCATATTCGTGTCCTTGATAACAATTTGATCACAGGCCAGCTAATCTGACTGGCATCTACTCAAATTCACGCCTTTCTCAAATGGCCCATGAACTTCAGATGACATTCCACTAAGTGGACATTAACATGCCGAATTACTTTTTTTTTCCCTTTTCTTTCTGCCATTATCTTGAGGAAAATTTGGATTCTTACCAGTTTTTGTGTGTGTTTTTGTAGAAATCAGATACTTCTTACTAAACGAAACTTATTGATAGTTGATGGTAGTTGCTGCTCTCTAACTGCTTCATCAGCTTCTCTGGATTTTGGTCAAACTTCATTTAGTAAAAATTTCTGCTGCTGTAGCATTAAAAAGAGGACTTAAAAATAATACCGAATTACTTTTGTTTGTCAGTGATGTGTCAACACTATGTTAGACTCCAAAACAAGTGAGCACAAGACTTTTTCAGCTGGAAGATGTTCTAATGTTGAAAACAGTTCTTTCAATAGATAGTCAACCTGCTGGCAGTCAGAGCTGGTGTTGTCCAAGTAATTAAAGAATAAAATAATCTACCTAAGCAACATCTGTGCTGGAAGGGTCAACTTCCTTTTTTTTTTAATATGCAGTGTCCACCAGAAAACAAATACTTGTTTTTGACAGATTAGAAAGATTAGAAAATGCAGTTCCTACTTCCCAAAATGTCTTACGTATTGAGTTGGTGACCCCCTGACCAGCCTATCTCCATTCAGAAGCTGTAAATGGAAATGTCTTTGTTCCCTGTATGTCAGGTCCCAGGATGAGAAGAAAAGGGCCAGTTGGCCAAAGACTGTCTTGCCTTCTCCCAAGTATGGTACAAAAGTGAGGCCATGGGAAGAACACTGATACTGTTGCCTCTCTCTAGGTGAAGAAAGTGGGATTCCTTGGACTGGTTTATCATCATCATGTCCATCTTGGGCATTTTCTGTTGCCTAAGTGAAAGTGCTATTTTTTCTGAGGCAGTTCTCTCAAGTGAAGTTAACTTCAAGGACTGGGCTTCTGCCCTGCTGCCAAGGTCTGGCTGAGCCTCTTGTTGCTGCGGTGAAAACAGGCAAATATACCCATTAGTAGATCTTAAAGCTGGAAAAAGTTACAGTAAATACAGGTGCTTTCTTACAATCATCTCTGATTAATCACAGCATGAATTTTACCAGTCCAGTCTCCTAAAAATCATAAATGCTGATGTACTAACTGATCATTTCAGCGACTAAAATGCAAGACCCTGTTTTTATTTTTTTTTACCCTGGTTTCTTGAATACTTTGAACTTTTGGTTTAAAATGTTTGAATGCCACTTTTACTGCTTCAGACCTTTGTTCTACCCTTTAAAAGCCATTACCCTTACAGTGATTTTTTTTTTTTTTCTTTTTCCCCAGGGTGACCAGATGCAGGTCATGCCTATACCAAGTGTATGTATTTTTATCCCTTTTTCTTTTAATAATTTTCATAACTTTTGCTTTGATTCATCTTATGTTGCAGTCTAACAGGTCTGTTTTGTGTTGCATGTTAACAAAAGGAATTTATGTTCTGTCTGCAATGTTGTATACTCAGAGATTAATTGAACTGCACATGTTGTACAGGAACTAAGAAGAGTTTGGGTTTTATATGGCTTTCATCTTGCATCTCAGTTAAATTTGTCTCTGAATTTTTAGTGTTTTGAAAATGCGTAAAGTAGTCTGAAAGTCGAAGTTACTTATTTTAATAGAGGCAAAAGGTGACTCATCATCACTACGTGGAACACAATTACAAAAACATTTTCCTCTAATTTTTCCCTATATTTCAGTTCAAAAAGAAGAGTTAGAAACTGCATAATTTGTTTGAAACAAGCCACTTGAGGAAAACAAAGAGTACACTGACCATAACTGCATTAGTGCACTCATTCACGATGACACTCTCAGTATCAGCTCTGTTTTATGGGCCTTCATATTGCTGTGTATCTTCCCTGCATTAAACTTGGAATGCCATTTGGCATCTGAATTATTTTTCAAAACTAAATAAAAGGACCAAAAAAAAAAAGCTGTTCAAACTGAAGCTTTGGGTTTAACTAGGTTTAACCTTTTTTGGTCGGGAAAAAAAAAAAAGCTTCTCTTTTTCTACTTGTTTTTTACATGGATGAAGACTTAGACTTTTTAAATCTTGAGATACTTTTTTTTTTTTTTTAGCTCCTTTGCTGTTTATAATACTTTATTATTGCAGAGTTTTCCAGGAGACTGGTGGAGTTACTGATACAGCCCTCTTTCTTGAGATATTTGGTAGCCC